TCCTAAAAATACACCTATTGACACATCTCTCATTAACCTATGACCACCTCCCTTATACACTAAATGAATCTTTATCTTATCTATCACCTAACCAACATGATTTGCTGATTCTAAAAACTCCTTTTCTTTTCCATAACTAGATCCACCGAAAACACAAATATTTTTTTTATGTGATGACCTAAGGAACTTGTCATTTCTACACACTTATATATTTGTTGAATGTATAAGTTGAGTAGAAATGAAAGGAAGGTGGAGAGGATTTTAGATATGAGAAATTAAAAAGGAAATCATACCATCTATATGTAGGCCAGTTGGAGTCTCATACATACTCTCTCTTTGTATTTATTTATTTATTTTTGGAAAAGCATGTGTATGTAGAAGTAGTTGTGATTGTGACTCACATCTTTCCTTGGTTTTACATTCAAGAATGACTTAATTGCCCTCTATGGGTCGGAGATAGGCTTCCCATCTAGTTTTGTTAAAAACTAGCAAATAGGGTCTATTTTAGTCAGATTCCTAAAACTAAATTTATCGTGTTCTTTATGAAAATGGGGCCATAAATCATAAATTGCATGATGTACATCTCTACTAAGATGTGTCTCAAGAGTCAATAGAAGATTATCCAAAGACCTCTTATTTAGGCCATCCTTAATGAATTGTATTTTATCTTTATGGTTTATAGATACCATTCCTAAAGAACAACATTATGCATTACAAGTCCATCTGACACATCGATGACAGACTTTCAATTGTTTTGCTCGACGTTTCTTTGCAAAAGTGCTTTTACCTATTCCAGGCATATGTGAAATAAAGGAATTAGAGGATTCACCTGATAATCAGACCTTTGCTTCAATCAACCAGCGAATATCTTTAGGAATTCCATGATTCATTAACAATCTTGATTTTGCACATCTAACACGGTAAATTTTTATAATCGCATTCTAAGGTAGAGCGGGAAAATACTTTTTTAATTTTTCAAGAGTGGTATCCATTTTCAAATGAGAATTAAAAGAGAGATTCAACGAAAGGGTAAAGAGCAAAGAATTACACAAATATATACATAGATATTAGTTATTATGAGAAACTGAAAGAACTTACTTAAGTCATGGAGTACCATTATCCGACATTTAATTGGGTGAGAGAAACTAGCAAAACAAAAATCACACAAAAAAAAAAACACAAAAACAAACTGAGAAAAGAATCAATCTTTATATATAAGATCACCTAATTCAATAGAGTTATTTTCAATTGAAAAATTATCAAAGTAAACTTTCACATGACGTCCATTTACCTTGAAAATATTGTCATTCTTTGGATTTTTGATATCAGAGGCCTCATATAAATATACATGTGTCACAATAAATGGACTGCTCCATTTTGATCTTAGTTTTCCAGGAAATAAATAATGTATCTTTTTGAATTGTTAGATATTACAATTGCAATGTAATTTATATATAAAAGTATTTTCTTTGTTTTTCTTTATTGAAAATATTTGATTAATTCTATGTAGATACTTGTTCAATCTAAAGAAAAAAGGTTAAGAACAAGGTGCATATTGAGGTTTCGATATGTGAGGCATATATTGTTAAGGAGATCTTAATATTTATCTTGTACTATTTTGAACCTCATTTGAGAATGAGAATCAATCGTGTTCCATGGTATGATAATGGAGGTGAAGTGCTTTCTAGTGGGTATTTGTCAATATTTTTCAATCCTAGATGACTCACACCTAAAAATGCCATAAGGGAAAGATATTTGTTCGAAATAGAGTTCAAACAAACATACAATTATGTTCTATTTAACTGTGATGAGCTGAAACCTTTTATTCAGTAAGTATATGTACTACTTAAACTTCATTAAGAATGTACTATTTATATATTGTAATATCATAAACTCATATAATTTGAAAAAACCTTATAGGCAACATCTATAATATTTACTATCCAATAATTCATAGTTGATCGAATCCCAAATCTTTCAATTACAAGGTGAAAAATTTACCGCTAGTTTAGAACATATGTAACTACTATCACAAAGTCATTATCTCTTGTAAAGTTATTGTATGTCATTACAAAATTCTTGTTTACTATTCATTATTGTACATGATATACAAGGTTTATCAAATGGAAATGAGTGTTGCTATTTCATTGTCTTCATTAAGCCAGAGCCCTGAAAGAAAAGTTAAGTGCTGCAACAAGTATTTTGTCAATAGATATATGTTTTATACTAAACAATAGAGGTATGGAATAAAGATATACAACAACAGTATTTGTGTTAAGAGTTCAACTTGTAATGAGTTTGAAGTTGACTACTATGGTAAATTAGAAGAGATCGTCAAACTGCAATATCATAGCAAGCAGAATATAGTGTTTTTATTCAAATGTTATTGGTATGACACCACTAACAGAGGAATTAGAGTATATCCTCATTATGGTCTAGTCGAAATCAACTCAAAAGTTAGACTCCACAACGTAAACGATGTTTTTGTTTTTGCAAAGCAATGTCAACAAGTTTATTACAAATACACCCCTTTTTTTAGAAAGGATCGATCAAGAGATGATTGGTTATTCAGTTTAAAAATGAAACCTAGAGGTTATGTTGAGGTTGTTCAAGATGGGAACGAAGACATAGGTGTGTGAGATAAAATCTTTTAAGTTAGTGAGTTGGTTGAACCATATCGAGTTGCTCCTTTGATTAATATAGAAAAAATTCAAATTTTCATGTTTTTGATGATAGTCTTGTTGGTGTTGATGCCGAGGAGTTGAATGTTGTTTTGAGCTTTAGCGAACAACCAAATATCGATGAAGATGATGATGATGATATCCATATTAAAGATTGCGATGAAGTTGATGACTATTCAATTGACGATGATGAAGAAGAAAATTCTAACTAACTATCAGAATCGAGGAAAGTGTAAAGCATTTTTTTATAATGTAATGTTATGGATGATATTTTGTAATACGAAATATTTATTTTATAATTGTCAACTATTATTATTGTTTTATGCAGGCAGTTTGTAATTTAAGTGTCTGTAGGAGGGTAAATAGGCAATACAAACATAATATTTCATACATAGTGCATGATCACCAATGTCTTTACAGCCTTCCGTCTATCAGTATTTTACCAAGAGTTGCAAAATATTTACTGCAAATACCACAATCATCGATGTTTATGCTAATGGATAATGTATGTGTTGATATTTTACAGAGAGTTGAAAAATATTTATTGAAAATGCCATAATCACCAACATCTCTATAGACAGATAAAGTCCTCTGGTATTTTACCAATAGATTTATTGCTGGATGATGTGAATTCCAAAGGACAGGTATTAATGCATCTCTGACTGCATGTACTTGCCAATGAAATTACTGATGGACTGTGAAAATTATAAAGGATAATTAAAAATATTTAGTGTGAAATTCAAAATTCACTGACAGGTTTTTGAAAAGTCACCAAAAAATAATTAAAAGTAATATTATTTAAATATTCCATCAGTAAAACTACACTATAAATCCCAGTAACCGCCCCTTCAATTCATTTTCATTTCCTTTGTTTAAGAGTTCTCTCATTTTGATTTTTTTTCCCTCTCATTTGCTTCAAAACATTTTTTTTTTTTGCCTGTTATCTCTAGTTCAATGTTTAACAAATTAAAAGGTATGTATTTCTATTTAATATGCTTAATGATTTTATTTTTTTATTTTTATTTTTTTGTTTTAGTTATTGTTATTTTTGTTGTGTTTTTTATTTTGGTGTATTTTTATAATGTAGATAAAGTCTTGAAATAAACACATTATTAAGATAAGCATTTTTCATAAGTAAAGTCTATAATTTTTTTTTTTAATTTGTTCAATATATTTTATTGTTTGTTTTGCCATAATAATTAAATTCTTTGTTGAATTTACCTTGTAATTCGTAATTAAATATATAAGAATAAATTTAATTATTTTATCTCAATTTTACTCTATTGTTGCATGATATATATTTAATTATTTCCATTGATTTTAATTGTTATTTGTATAGATGTTAAGTTATATATAAGATTTTTGAATGGGGTTAATAGGTTGTGGCTATTGTTAATATTTACATGTTTGAAAACTATGGGTAGTCTCCAGTACAGGGGAGATGCTGCTGAATTTTTTTTAATAATTGAACTTAATTATGTAATTATTCGTATAAAATTGTGTAAATGCATTGAACGAAATCAACAGCTCATCGCTCACATATGGACGCAATTAGTTCTTCTATCAATGAGAATGACATGTCCTTAGATGTTGATTAAGAAGAATCACCTGTGCCGACTCGTGATGCTGCCTCTTCCAATGTGGTCTCATAGCGCAAAGGCGGTGTGTCTTTATAGCGGAATCAATTCACCCACAAGTACGAGACATATTGAAAGGATGACCTTTTAATTAATTTTTTTTCGATTTGGTTTTAGTTTTTTATTTTTATTATAACATAATTTATGAACAACTAATCAATATTCCATTAATTTAATTTATTTTTAGGTTCACAAACATTGAGGCTGCCCAAGTAACATCATTGATGTTTAAATCGTTGATGGAGATTTTATTATTTCAATGGAGTCAAGTTTCCAAATATCCTGAATGAAGACCTTATATCGATCCATGGTTTCAAAGATTTTAGGTTGGTGTTCATTTCTAATTTCCAGCTTATTTTTAATAAATTATTATTATAATTATAAATAAATTATTATTTATATACAATACAAATTCGAGTGAGACAATGCACATGATAAGTTATTATTTTTCTTGAATTGAATATGGTGATTTCTTTTTTCATTTTCAAGAGACTTATAAAAGTCGGTTGAGGAAGAGATACGAGGATAATCTTTCGACCCATTCAGATTTGTGGATGGAGGTAGGATCGTCTAGTGAACCTGATAAAAATTGGGTGTACAGGCTCTCCAACACTATGGTCGAGAACTTGCGGGTGGCCTGTAGTGTCTTAACCGTTAGGAGCTCATAATTAGTATCGACCACCCAATCTAAAGAGATCGTGGTCTTGTAGCAACACAATACTCATCTCATTGAAAAAAATGAGTACTTCTCGGCGAATTATGAACAACTCTACCAAATGATCATGAAAATTACATCACAAATGGATGATATATGTGCGCCTTCTTTTTGACCATTTTGTCTCGTGAACAATTAGCCTTCTCTAGCACCGTTATTGTTTTAGTTTAATTTTTTTTTGGAAACATATTAAACTTGTAATGAATATTTGGATGAATATTATTTAACTTTATTTTTATATTTTTTATGTTTAATACAATTTTATTTGCATAATTGGTTTTTTTACTATATATATATATATTAAAAAATATCATCAATAGATTTTCAGATGGAATGTTTCCATCAGTATTTTACAGAAAGTTGAAAAATATTTACTCGAAATGCCACAATCACCAATGTCTTCACAGACGCAAACATTCCGTTGGTATTTTACTAAAAATTGAGAAATATTTACTACAAATGCCGTAATCACCAATGTTTATACCAACGGATACATTCCATCAACATTTTATTTAGAGTTGAAAAATATCTACTTTATATGCCACTATCATTGATGGAATATTTCTAGCAAGAATTTTTTTTCACACATTTTTTATATGTAAAACCATTAGTATTTCTATTTTTATTTTTATTTTTTACTGACAGAATGTGGAATTACTGATGAACAATATGTCGACAGACTCTTTCCATCGGGGATTTAGTCGTTAAAAAATTTACCAATGAAGTGGCAATTTTACACAAAAGGATTTGGTTTGTCGGTAAAACTGTTAAAAGTTGTAGTGATTTGCGTCTTAACAAGTGTGATTTAATTTGTTCATATATTTTTTTATTAGCATGATAGTTTAGTTTTCTATATTTCTTTATGATAAAGTTGAGAGTAATTTTAAACATTTAACGTTGTTTCATTCTTTCATGGGAACATTCTTAATTCTATACCTTTTCCCTCCTTAAACAATATCTGTTACCAAATTAGCTCGAATTAAACATATGATTTCCTTTTGCATGAAGTGTGAAGACTAACAATGACCTTTGGACTAAACCACAAGATGCTTCTCCTCAAGGACTAGGAAAAAAATGTTCTGTTTCTACCGATGTTTCGTGTTCTGAAAAAATTCCCCAATGCTAGTGTTGCTATATTTAAAGTTGTGTAATCTTCAAATATTCTGGTCAATAGATGGGGTAGGCAAAGTTATTTGGGTGGCGAGGTAGATAAGAATTGTTTGATGCTTTTACTTCAATATTCTAGGTGATCCATGTGAAAGCATATTTCATTTCATTTTCATTCAAAATATAATTCAAGATATGGAATAGAATTTGGATTCATGAAGAGTTCAGTGAATATATATATATAT